GATTCTTTCAGTTAGTGAGATTGGTTGACATTCTCACTTCCTTTAAACCTAGAGGAAATTAGGTTGAGGGAAGTCCCATCTCTTTCCCCAAAACTCAGGGTTTTTTTTTTTAAGTTTATTGGGGTAACATTGGTTAATACAATTATATAATTTTCAGGTGTACACTATAATTTGACATCTATATATTCTATTGTGTGATTACCACCCAGAATCCAGTTTCCTTCAGCTACCATATATTTGATCCCCTTTACCCACTTCACCCTCCCTCAACTCCCCTATATATGACTCCCTTTACTTTGTTTACCTCTTCTCTCCTCCCCCACCCCCTACCCTCTGGTAACTACTAGTCTATTGTCCATGTCCCTGAGTCTCTGTCTAGTTCATTTCTTGCTTTTAGGTTTATGTCCCACATATAAGTGATATCATGTGATTTTCAGCTTATTTCACTTAGCATGATTACCTCGAGGTCCATCAAGGCTGTCGCAAATGGCAGTATTTCATCTCTTCTTATGGCTGAATAATGCTGCTGTGAACATCGGTGTGCAAATATCTTTTTGGATATGGGTTTTCAAGTCTTTGGGATAAATACCCAGTAGAGGAATTGCTGGATCATATAGTAGATCAATTCTTGGCTGAGCTATCCAGCATATTCTATATTTTCGTTTAGTCAACTGGACAAACACGAGTCTTAATCTCAAAAAGGTGCTTAAAGAAGCTCTATATCTATATAGTACTGGGAAAATGTGAGCAACTCTTGGAGGATGTAGAGGTCAGTGATGGCTCTAGAGACTTAAGAGTGTAATAAAATATTCTAAGATAAAATATTCTAAGATTTACTGCATTTGTCTTAAAAAGGTAGTATAGAGTTTTGTTATTGTGGTATCTGTGTGTATAGGTATGTGTATCTTTATAAATAAATAAATAGCGCTTTTCATGTTATAGAAAATACTAAAATAGGTAATAAAATCATCCAAGATCCCAGGAGCCAAAGAACATGCTATTTTGGTGTATAACTTTCTAGTCTTTGTTTCCAAATGTATATATGCATTGTTATATTTTTACTTTTTTCATATAAGTTGTGTACAACCATTACAAAATTTTACCAAGAATAACATTTGTCATTTAGTTTTTTGAGAACATGGTCAATAGCATAGTTTATGGCCTTGATATTTAAAAGGAACGAGATTCCTCCTCCTCACGTTTATCAGTCAGATCCCAGTCACTAGCAGTGAATTTGCCATTTGTTTTCTCCAAAGGGACACCTTTTTCATAGAAAACTTAAGAAATGTAGTTCTCAAGCTTTTCTCGCTTCTGTAGATCACACTTAGATTCACACTTTGAACGTACACTTACTCGTAAAAGTTTGCTGGGATCCCTTTGAAGTATCATTTGCCACTTTCTAAGCTCTCAGAGCAGATGATGGGATCCATGAACTCCTTCTGCCTCTTCCCAAAATTCCCCTTTCTTTCCCTGAAGGAAGCAGATGAGCCCATTAAGATAGGTGCTGTTTGTACCCATATGCCTCCTGTGTAATATGTGACACGATTTATACAACACAAGCTTCCTGCTATACTGAGAACACAAAGTGTACATTTGTCCTAAGGAAAACCACTGTCGTGCTGTAAAGTGTGAGATTGTGCTGCTTCCTGTCGCCCAGCCAATATGGGATGGCCAGCAGTCAGCTCTAGCTAGACAAGAGCCACATCCTATGATTTCTAGGTCTTGGAGAAGTCTGCCAAATGGTGACTTTTTTTGAGTGTTTTCTATTAGGTCTCCCAACTGTTTTCAATCCATCTGAATAGTTCTGGCAAAAATAAATTATAAATTGTAATTAGAAGCTTTGTTTCAGTTCATATTTTTTAGATTTTAGGAGTTAATGACTATATGGACCTAGAACAAAACTTTGTGTTTGTTTTTAAAGCAGTCAAATGGAGTCTCTTGATTTTTTAATTTTTTAAATACTAATTTGTGGCCACTTTTAGCTCCTGTAAAAGGTATGGCTTTTTAAAAAGAAACTTTACAACAACTAGCTAGTGAAAAGGAACAAATTCTTCTTTAAGTTAAAAAAAGAGTTTTGTTTGTTTGTTTGTTTTTACTTGTAAAATACAACTTATGTCAATTGAGGTGGGACCACTGGAATGTTCCATGCACTTTGTCCTCAGAGGAAAGAGACCATAACTGATTACTGCTATGTTTCAGATCGGTTGGTTTTGTACAATTAATGGGAGAACCATTAATTAATTAATGTTTACTTTTAAATATTTGATTGTCTTAGCAATATGTGAATATGGTGTTCTTGGAAAAGAATTCTAGTTTGAAGCTAAATTCTGCCTAAACTGGTCCCTCCAACCCTCACCCTTCCTCGTCCCACCAAAAATATCCCAGTTTTTAATTTGGTTTGGACACTCATGGAAGGTAAATACCATGCACGTGTTTGAGTGTGGTTGACACCTGTCTCCTTCTGTACCTGCCACTCTGCAGCCTGCTGTTCTCACTCAACATCATGTTTTGGAGACCACCCATCCTGTTACCCACAGAGATAGCTTATTTCTTTTAATGTCTGCAAACCGCTTTATAGGTTGGCTGTGCCACAGTTTACTTACAACTTTTAGTCCTTTCCAGGTTTCTTTTGTACCAACAGTGCTGTGGTGAGCATCCTTTATAGGCACCTTCGAACGTGAGTGTTTCTCTATGACAGAGAAGGAAAAGTGTCCTGTATTTTATATATGAAAATCTTAAGATACAAAGAATTTAAGATGGCTGTAGTCTTATAAATGACTAGCAGAGTGTGGATTGAAGCCATTTTCCCTGACTCCTCTTACCTAGTTGGACATTCTTTACAAATTTTTGGAGAGAGTCGTAGGGATTCTGGGTAAAGCCAAGTCTAGTAAAAGCTAACTGTGTTGAAACCTCGTTCATTCTAGTTAACCAAGGTCAGTCCGAATTAGGGAAAAATTAAACTTTAAGATGTCATATATAATTTTGAAGTGTATACAGTGACCTGCACTAATATAACTTGATATAATTCCTTAAGGGAATCATATTAATGAACAAATAAAGGCATCTAATAATTATTTTTATGAATAATGACATATCTAAATTGTTCACGTTATTCTCATCCATTGTCATGGAAGATAAATACCATTGTTGTTTCTCTACAATATTTGTTATATTTTAACATGCTAAGCAAATGCTATTCTCTAGTTAAAGATAACCAGAACCACTTCCTTCCTGAATGATATAAATTAGCAAAGGAAGATGAAAGGGGTGGACATTTGAAGGCCTACTCACCGCCAGGTATAAGGCTTTTAAACATTTTTGTCTGTTTAATTACCGTAACAATTTTGTGAAGTGAGTCTTATTCCCTCTTTTCATAAATTGAGAAACTGAGGCATAGAGGGCTCTAAAGCAACTCTCTAAAAGTTGCCTCTGAGTTTTCCTGACTCAGAAGAGTAATACTTTTTATACTGTATCGTAGTTTCTTTAAATGTGGTCCTCAGACCCCCTGCATCAGAATCTCCTGGAATATTTCTTCATACTGCAGATTCCTGGGCCCCTGCCAGGTAAGGCCCAGGGGTTCTGTGTGTTTAACAAGCTGCCGGGTGTTCCTTAAGCACTCTGAAGTCTGAGAGCCACTCTGCCAGACCTTGGTGACCTTATTTTGGTGATGAGCCCTTCCAGAAGAGCGCTCCATGACTTTGAGGACCAGTGATCCCTCTCACGCCTCACTTACAGTGCTCCTCTGGGTGGCTCCCTCCTACTCACGCACTTCCGTTGCCTCATGTTACATGTACTGAACTTAGCATGGCTTATGGTTTGACAAGTCACTTCCAAAGAGTAAAATCATCATGTCACATAGGGATCTTTTTTTTTAAAAAAAAAAAAAAAAAGGTTGAAATTTCCCGTGCAGCATCATCGGATCCCAAGTGTACCTTTGGTGTCGAATACAGATGGAATCTGCATTTTGCATTCTAACCCTTGCTCAAACCAGAGAAATATAAAATGAGAGGGCAGCTTACAGAAATGATCACTTTTGCTTTAATTTTCATTTCTAGCCCTCCTTTGCTACACTCCCCTGGTGGTAGGTTTCCCAGTCTGCCCCTAATCTCTTCTGACTTTTCTAGAAGTGAGATCAAAGGTCCCATCCAGTTCACTTCTTCCCACTCAAGACAGGGTT